GCTTCCTCTTCAAATAACCATAGAAAGGGGGATTGACACCTAGTCTAATAAGTGACAGAAATGTCAACCAACATCAACTGAAATAACTGTTAAAAAGGGTGATTGCATTATATTAAAATAACCCATAGAAAGGGCAATAAGTGCCTGTTCTACTAACCACAGAATGGGTGAGGCATCCTAGTCAAATAACCAACCAACCAAGAGCACCTGAGGCCTAGACAAATAACCATAGAAAGGGGGATTGAGGCCTAGACAAAGAACCTATAGAAAGGGGGATTGAGGCCTAGACAAATAACCATAGAAATGGGGATCATATCCTATTCAAATAAGCCTATGGGAAAGGCAATTGATACCTAGTCAAGGCAGAGCCCTTGCTGCCTATTCCAATAATCCTAGAAGAGGTGAGTGCTACTGTCACAGAGCTATAGTCCAAGGAGGAATCCCTTCAGTGTGCCAGAACTCGAAGGGGTCCCACTCCTCCTTCAGGGTAGACCATGTGGCCTCAACACCTTTGAGACTGAGCCTCTGGGCTCTAGCACTCCTGTTTCACACCATAGCTCTAAGATAGACTCCAGTTCTGAGACTTTCTGCCCTCTTCAGGGATCAATGAACCTCAGCAGGTATTTACAGTGACACCAGGCAGCCTTTTCAAAACAAAGAAGTGTTTATTAGTCAACTGGCATGCAACATTGGGAAGTCCTTAGGGTACAATAAAGAAGCAAAGGTTAAGGCATAGTCCATACTGGCTAAAGCAGAGGTGGGGAACCTTTTTTCTATCAGGGGTCATTGACTCACAGAAAAAATCAGTCGTGGGCTACAGACAGCCCCGTGGGGGTGGGGAGGGGGAGGCTCAGGGCTTCCCCTAGGCTCTGGGGTGGGGCCGGAAACAAGGGGTTCAGGATGCGGGAGGGGGCTCCGGACTGGGGCAGGGGATTGGGGTGTGGGAGGGGGTGAGGGCTCTGGCTGGGGGTGTGGGCTCTGGGATGGGCTGGGGATGAAGGTTTGGGGTGCAGGAGGGGGCTCTGGGCTGGGGCCAAGGGGTTTGGAGTGTGGGATTGGGGTCAGGGCTGGGACAGGAGGTTGGGGTGCGGGAGGGCGCTCAGGACTGGGGCAAGGGGTTGGGGTGAGGGATCTGAGAGGGAATTAGGGTGTGGGAGGGAGTTCCAATCTGGGGCAGGGGGTTCGGGGTGTGGGCTCCAGCCGGACGGCGCTTACCTCCAGTGGTTCCCGGTCTGCAGCGCAGCGGGGCTAAGGCAGGCTCCCTGCCTTCCCTGGCTCTGTGTTGCTCCCAGAAACGGCCGCCATGTCCGGCCCCCAGGAAGAGGGCCCAGGGGGCTCTGCGCAGTGCACGCTGCCCATGTTCACAGGCGCTGTGCTCACAGCTCCCATTGGCAGCGGTTCCCAGCCAATGGGAGCTGTGGAGCCGGCACTGGGGGCAGAGACAGCGCATGGAGTTTCCCTGATCGCCTCTGCTCCTAGGGACCACAGGGTCATGCCGGCGCTTCCAGGAGCTGGAGCCGACCTTATCTTCTCCCCACAGCAGGGCGAGCCAGCGCTTGTGGCTCCAGCCCCGTGGGGGATGCCAAGGCCGGGCTTATGGCTCCGGCACGGAGACTTGCTGTGGGCCGCATAAAATGAAGCAGCGGGCTGGACCCAGCCCACGAGCTGTAGGTTCCCCACCCCCTGAGCTAAAGCCAGGGGTCCCTTGACCATCCTGCTCTAGGAACCATCTTGGTTTCTTTTCAGTCAATTTCTGCCCCTTGTCTGTCAGTCCCAGGTCAGACCTATATCCAGAGCCCTGCTTGGATACAAAATTTGTATCCACATCAGATCTGTGATCTGCAAAAATGGTCCGCAGATTTGCAGGGCTTTACCTGGGTTTCTCAAAAGGCCAGTTCTTATCCTAGCCGCTGGTCACCTCTTGGTCCATTGTCCTCCTGCAGGACACTTACTGAGTTCACATGTTCTGCCTGCTGGAGTTTCCCATTGTTACGCATCAATTGTTTGGTCCTTGGGGTTCCCATTGTCATTCTGGATCCTCTATTGATAGGGGTCGGTTCCAGCCACAACAACACATTCATATCACCCCAGGCAGTTACGTGACCCAAATACCTCATGGATCCTGCTTTGCCCTGGGAGCAGCATTTAAACCCTTCTGCAGTTGCAATCCCTAGTTGAGTAAGTCCTGTCATGCATATCATTCATCCGAAAACTCCCATTGGTCACAGCTACTTAGTCAAATGACCCATAGAACAGGTTCAAATAACCACAGAAAGAACGCTTGCTGCCTATTCAAATACTGACAGAAAGAGTGACTGGGGCCTATTCAATTAACCCACCAAAATTGCTGCCTATGGAAACACCCCCTAGAAAGTGTCATCGCTCTCTGTTCTACTAACCCATAGCAAGAGCAATGCTGTTTATTCAAACACCCCACAGAGGGTGTGATCGAGGCCTAGCCACAGTAGCCGACTGAGGCCTATTCGATTTGACTGGAGTTTTTGTACCAGGGAGTTTCACAAGAGTAATAGCTAGAGTCCAACCTTCGCAGGTGGAGACCCAGAATCCTTGTTCTCAGGGCAGTGGCCCTTTAGAGCTGGGACAGTCTATATTCCGGCCTAGGTTAGACGGAGGTCCAACTAGATGATCCCAATGGTCAAGCTATGAAGTCTATGAATAACCACCAGGACCCAGGATGATGCCTCCCGCCACAAGGAAGCTGACAACTTAGAAAATATCAGCTGGTGTTAAACGTGCTCGGAGGGGCAGCTAGCCCCACCCAACCTCACTCCTACCCCCCACATAGAGGCACATTTTGTGAAAAATGCCTTACTGTATCAAGCCTGGGGGCTTTTGCCCCTCGACCCCTATTTAGGCACCCAGAAAAGTTTCCTGATTCAGTCTGGCCAACTGCAAGCATTCAGAAACAACAAGTCAGGCCCAAACCCCATAAAATCAGGAGACTGGCTTAAAAATAAGCCATGTGGAGGGTTCACAGGCAAGGGGAAGCTGGCGAAGCTGAGCTCAGAGCCTGTGAGATCATGGGAGACTTTAAACAACGCTCAGGAGGGTGAGACTCATGCTAAAATGGCAGGAATTTACAGTGCAGGGGTAGCACTAACCAAACTAGAGTGCCTGGGAGAAAAAGCCCTTCTTCCTGCCCGGGCTCAGGTGCCTGGGTGTGGGGAGCGACCCCAGCACTCTGACAAGGGCTGCTGCAGCTGCCTCAGGAGGAGGGTATTTCTGTGGAGGGCTGAGCAGAGAAGCAGAGGGACCCGTATCGTTAGCACTGACAGCGCTTGGTGGAGAGCCCTGCAGCATGAGGGGAGGGGTGGGGGAGTGCTGCCTGGAGCAGGGAGATGCTGAGAGCATGGCTCCCCGGTGGGGCTATCTCCTGCGATTTATTAATGGTGGCTCCCCAGTAAGTGGGTCAGCTGGCGGCGGGGCCGCATCTGGGCTCTGGGCCACTGGTGGGGCTGTGCTGCAGAAGAAGCCAGGTGCTGCCTCAGCCATACATTGATGGCTTGCTCGTTAGCACCAGGCACCCCATCAAAGACAGTCTGGGGCAGCGGCTAGGCGGCGGGAGCCGTGCTGTGGGGGAGATGCCAGACAGCTCTGGGAGAGATCTCACTGAGCGGCTCTTTGGCTTCCTAGGAATACTGCTCAGGAAGAGAAGGGCCCTAATGAGTGTAACTCTGCCTCTGCGGGAGGAAGTCGGCCTGGTTCAAGTATTTCTGCCTCTCACTGCGATGGGCCCCAGTGGGGGAATCTGGCTGGTCTGGCGAGGAGTTTCACATTGCACTGCCCTGTCTGTCTGGGACCCTGCCCAGCACCAGGGGCTCTCGAGGCCAGGGTCACCTCTCTCCAGGGAGGCTGCTACCAAAGAAGCAGTTTGTAACCATGGAAACCAGTTATCCTCAGAGATAGGGCTTAAAAACTACCCCTTGCTAACAGCCCTGTGGGAGCAGCTTCCCTGGCCTGGCTTTGACCCCCTTCCTCCCGTCCCGGCGGCGTCTGCTGCAGAGTCCTGGATCAGCATGTTGCACAATAAACCTTGGCAACGGCAAGTTTCCCCAGCCTGCCAGTAGAGACATTGCAGCGCTCCCAGGGCCTATGGGTTCAGGCTGCTGGGGCTGGGACCCACCCTACCTGCAGCAGCTCCCAGCCCTCGCCTGCGTGTCTCTGGACAGCCCAGCCAAGGCACACATCTGACGTGTCCCCGGCCCTGCGCTCGCATTCTCCTGCTCATCTCCTGTGGAGTAGGGGTAAAACAAGATGGGTCTCACCTCCATATTACCCTCGCCTACCCTACTGTTCCCCTCCACGCCCGGCAGATGCAAGGAGCCAGCCCTGTTCCCCACAGGGAGACAGAGCGGGGCACGGACTGGTGTCCTCACACATGGGAGGCTAAAGCTAGGTCCCTGGCCAGGTGATGCCTGAGCACAGCAGCTCTCACGGACTTCCAGGCAGGCCACTTTCTAGGTGCTACTATGGATGCAGGGCCTCATGTTGGAACTGTCACCCGCGGATCAGCTAGCAGCAGCCCTGGAGTAAGAGTTGCACCAAATATGGACATGTTTGTACAGCACCGAGCGCAGTGTGGTCCTGGGCTAAGCGCTGCAGTAATACAAATAATAAAGAAGAAGCCTATAGGATCCAAAGGAAAGGAAGAGCTGTTAACATGTATTGCTTGCCAGCCTCTCTGTGCCTCCCCCTGCCCCCTCCCTGCTCTGGTAGAGAGTTCAGTGCTGTACACTCCTTCCTGGGCTCGCCCTGGGCACAGGTCTTTCCTGCTCCCACATGCCAGCGCTCAGGGTCAGGGCCAGGTGGCTGTCCTGGGGATGGCAGGAAGGGCTGGGGCTCAGATTCAGGTCTAAGTGCAGCGGGAAAGGCGGGGCTCAGCTAGCAGAAATCCCCCAGCAGAGCAGCAGCAACTCCAGCTTTGCCCAAAGGCAAAGCTAGGGAAGGCTTGCCCCCTCCTGCCCAGCCCGGCTACTTACCTGGGAGCTTGGGGGCTTTGATGGGATATCCCAGAGGGAGGCCGGGCTGCTGGCCCCCGAAGCCTCCGAATCCTGAAAGACAACAGCAGAAACTCTCAGGCGAATGCCCAGTGCTCCTGCCAGCACCTGCTCCGTGAGCCCGCCACCAGCCGAAGGGGACCAGGGGAGTGTCTGTGGGGTGTCCAGAATCCCAGAGCAAGTACAGAGCAGAGCAGGAAGCAACATGTGGGCAGAGCTGGGGGCTCTGAGACCCTGACTGCAGCATGGGCAGGCCCTGAGGCTGTAAAGACATCACTTGGGTATATGGATCATGCAAATGAAAGCATGCAGCAGGCTGGGAAACCAGGCAACTCACCGGGGATTCCTGCAAGGGCTCCTGCTCCTCCTGTTAAAGAGAGAAACCGGTACATGAGCCTCACAGCCAGCCAATATGGGACTGAGCTAGTCCATACAGGCCTGAGCTGGTCCATGTGGGTCTTAGCTGGTCCATATGGGTCCATACGGGTCCATACAGGCCTGAGCGGGTCTATATGGGCCTGAGACAATCAATGTAGGCCTCCACCTCACCCAAGTCCCCCCCTACACCCTGTGACAACCCCAGGAAAACGTGCCCTCTCCTACCCCATGCACTCTTGGCATGATGAAGGATGCAGCCTCCTATAATCTCTGCCCAGCCCTGGCCGCCCACCCCAGCCCACACAGGAGCCATGGCAGCCCCCACCCCACTGGTACCTGAAACTCCCTGAGGAAGGGCAACATACCTGGGGCTTTTGCCTTGACTCCAGTCCCGGTGGGCACACCAGGCAGGACGCCTATGCCAGGGTAACGGACCCCTACAACACAGTGCAGAGGGAGCCAACTGAATGCAGGGCAGGAACACCCCCAATGACAGCCCCACCAGCCCCCCTGCATCGTATTGTGGGGCCGACCGCAGGATGCACCCACCCCTGTCCCAACGCAGACTTTGGGACTGAGAGCCAGGCACCTGTCTGTGTCCCGATCCCTGCTCTATCCCAACTCCCACCGAGCAGCTGCTGCTGGGCTATTCTGTTCCCTGGCTCAGATCCTGTCACTTCCTGTCTCCTGCAGTCTTGCTCCCCCTCCCCATTCCCATCCTTCTGTCTCCTCCTGAGCCACATGACCCTCAGTGCCCAAAGGGGTCACTGTTTGTAGCTACAGTTGTTACCGGGGCTGGCAAACTTACTACACAGAACACACTGTTGTCATAATATTTATCCAAAAAGTATCTTGCAAGGTATCATATGGACGGGTGACACTGGTCATTGATGTTGCATGATGCCCGTATGTTTAGTGCGTAAGGTTATGGAGCTGTGCTGGAAATACGGTACTATACTCTGTTTAGACCAAGCAATCCAAGCAGAGTGGGTAACATGTCTGTCCTAGCCAAAGGAATGCTGGTTTGCCTGTCTGCCTGTGTCTCCAGTGTCACTGAGCAAGGCCATGCCAGAGACAATGGAGATACACTTGCATCTGAGTAACAGGACAAGCCCATCGAGAGAGAATCATAGAATATCAGGGTTGGAAGGGACCTCAGGAGGTCCAACCCCCTGCTCAAAGCAGGACCAATCCACAACTAAATCATCCCAGCCAGGGCTTTGTCAAGCCTGACCTTAAAACCTCTAAGGAAGGAGATTCCACCACCTCTCTAGGTAACCCATTCCAGTGTTTCACCACCCTCCGAAAAAGTTTTTCCTAATATCCAACCTAAACCTCCCCCACTGCAACTTGAGACCATTACACCTTGTTCTGTCATCTGAGAACTGAGAACAGTCTAGATCCATCCTCTTTGGAACCCCCTTTCAGGTAGTTGAAAGCAGCTTCAAATCCCCCCTCATTCTTCTCTTCTGCAGACTAAATAATCCCAGTTCCCTCAGCCTCTCCTCATAAATCATGTGCTCCAGCCCCCTAATCATTTTTGTTGCCCTCCCGCTGGACTCTTTCCAATTTTTCCACATCCTTCTTGTAGTGTGGGGCCCAAAACTGGACACAGTACTCCAGATGAGGCCTCACCAATGTCGAATAGAGGGGAATGATCATGTCCCTTGATCTGCTGGCAATGCCCCTACTTATACATCCCAAAATGCCGTTAGCCTTCTTGGCAACAAGGGCACACTGTCGACTCATATCCAGCTTCTCATCCACTGTAACCCCTAGGTCCTTTTCTGCAGAACTGCTGCCTAGCCATTCGGTCCCTAGTCTGTAGCAGTGCATGGGATTCTTCCGTCCTAAGTGCAGGACTCTGCACTTGTCCTTGTTGAACCTCATCAGGTTTCTTTTGGCCCAGTCCTCTAATTTGTCTAGGTCCCTCTGTATACTATCCCTGCCCTCCAGCGTATCTACCACTCCTCCCAGTTTAGTGACATCTGCAAATTTGCTGAGGGTGCAATCCATGCCATCCTCCAGATCATTAATGAGAGGGATGAGAGGACAGCAGGGCACCAGCTTCCTGGAGCCCAAGCACTAGGGAAGGAAGCTTCATCTGGGGCAGGGGTGAGCAAACTACGGCCCGCGGGCCGGATCCGGCCTGTGGGATTGCCCCCCGTGGTGCTGTGGGCCCCGTGCTGCTTTCAGCAGCGGACGGCCCAACATCCCTGCGGCCTCTGGGCCCTTGCCTCCAGGCACCGCCCCCCGCAGCTCCCATTGGCTGGGAACGGGGAACCGCGGCCAATGGGAGCTTCGGGGAAGGTATCTGGAGGCGCAGCAAGGGCAGAGCACGGGGAGCCCTCCGCCCTCCCTCCCCAGGGGCCGCAGCACTTCCAGAATCGGCGTGGGGCCGGGACAGGGCAGGCAGGCAAGGAGCCTGCCCTGGCCCCAGTGCATGCCACTGGCACCTCGGAGCCCGAACCCCTTCTGCACCCCGCCCCCCAACTCCCTGCCCTAAGCCCCCTGCCTGCACCTTGCACCCCTTCTGCAGCCCAACTCCCTGCCCTGAGCCCCCTTGTACACCCTGCACCCCTCCTGCACCCCAACTCCCTGCCCTGAGCCCCCTGCTGCACCCTGCTTCCCTGTGCACCCCAACCCCCTGCCCTGAGCCCCCTGCTGCACCCCATACCCCTCCTGCACCCCAACCCCCTTCCCTAAGTCCCCTCATACATCCCGCACCCCTCCTCTGCCCCAATCCCTTGCCCTGAGCACACCGCACCCCCTCCCACACTCCGCACTCCCTCCCACACCCCAACCCCCTGCCCCGGCCCTGCATACAATTTCCCCACCCAGATGTGGCCCTCAGCCCAAAAAGTTTGCCCACCCCTGATCTGGGGAGACACTTCCCAAGAACACATTGCTGAGGTTTGCTGGATTATAAAAGGGAAGAAAGGGGACTTGGTTACCCGTCACTTAGGGGACAAAGGTCTGTGCATGGTGGGTTCTCCAGCCTGAGGGGCCGGAGATGCTGGTAGCTGGAAGTAAGTGGGAAAGCTGCTCAGGCAAAGACTGTAGCTTGCCGGAGTGAAGTTTTGCTCACTAGAGAGCAAGTTAGTTTTGTTTTGTTTGTAACCAGACCTGCCCCTTTTTCTCTTGCTCAGTGTCACTTAAATCTCTGTTCCTTATTAGTAGACTGATGCTTAGTTTTACTATAACCCATCTCAGTGCTGTGTGCTGAAGGGAGGTGGAGGCAGCTGCCTTGGTCATTTCTGAGCGCGGCCAGTGATAGGGGCTGGATGTCTCTGGGGATCTTGGGTCCTGGGGTTCCCTCAGTGTCACCTGGAAGGCTCGTTTCAGGCTGGCAGTCTGGAGGAGTTTGCTGGGGAGGCGGGCGGGCGGACTGGCGTGGCAGGGAGCTGACACACAGTCTCCTTCACTAAGGCAGAGGGGTAACACAGAGGCTTGTGGTTCTGGGCGCCCTGAGGAAAGCATCACACCCATCCATCCTTCCCCTCCCCCGCCCTCTCATTTCCTCATCTCTCTCCCTGCCCCAGTGCTCCTGGGATGGATGGACCAATTCCTGCCATCCCAGGAGCACTGGGGCAGGGAGAGAGATGTGTCCCCTCTGCCCGCCAGGGCTGCGCTCAGTGTCTGGGATGCACGATATGCCCCTATCCACTGGGACTTGCCTTCTTACAAGCCACACCAAGCTCGGCCATTCTAAAGCAGAGAGCGTATCTAGGTGCCTGGGGCCACATCTACAACCAGTGGACAGGGAGGGGCTTGGGAGATGGGGCCCGGCTTCAAAGGGTCTTGTTCTGATCCAGTCCAGGTGAGGGGGACTGGCTGGCTTAGGGGGCGGGGAATGGGACTCTGGCCTTTTAGGGGGCACCAGCTCCCATCTGGCCCCTGCGGGGTGGGGGACTGGCTGGCTCCAGGGAATCGGGGATGGGAGGTGGGGCTTTTCTCCTCTAGGGTGCGAATCTAACCCCCGATGGCAGTAACCAGAGACTGTTCAGGGTCTCCCATGGCCCTGGGGAGGGGAGGGACTCGGGCTCCTGGTGCTAGGCACTGTACAGCCCAAGCAGCCATGCCCTGAGGTGGCTCAGTGGTTGTGGGGGCAGCTTGCAGCCTTCTGAGGGCTGGTGGGGGCCAGCTCTGCAGCCGATGTCTCTCTCATGGGCAGCACTGGCACACGGGTCTCCGGGCAGGTGGGCAGGCCCAGGGGCTCCTCTCCTGTGAATGTGGAAGAGGAGCCCACAGTGGAAATGGCCTAGCAGGCCCCTGCTCCCACACCTGCAGGCTTGTGCAGGGCATGGGGGTGCTGCATTTTCTCACACACACTCCCTCCCCATTAGAGCTGGGGCTCTGTGGTTACTGTGATCCCCTGTCCCCGGGAATTCCACACCCCTCTTTGCCAGGTCTGTGGCAATGCCAGCTGCTCACCCCGTGTCTCTCCTGCACCCCCTTCACAGCGGCCACTGAGCGCTCTGGGGTTCACAGCCCCAGGCAGAGGTGGAGGTTTCCAGGGCCCTGATCATTCCCACCTCACCCCCAAGCCCCCAGCTCGGGGACGGGGGGAACTGCACCGGGTATCCCTGGGGATATGAGCCCCTGAACTAGACAAGGGCATTGCCGTGTTTTGCTGCCAGCGGTTGCCCCACACCAGTGCAGGGCTGCCCAGAGGATTCAGGGGGCCTGGGGCAAAGCAATTTTGGGGGCCTCTTCCATAAAAAAAAGTTGCAATACTATAGAATACTATAGTCTCATGGGGGCCCCTGGGGCAAATTGCCCTACTTGCCCCCCCACCTCTGGGCAGCCCTGCACCAGTGATTTGCCTCTACCCCCACCACTGCTTGGTTTCCATAGCAGCCGCCTAGGGGAGCCTGGGCCGTCTCCGCACAGAACAGCGGCACCAATTCAAACAAGCGAGGAGCTAAACCCAAACAACCCCTCTCCACCCCATGCCCCAAACCCAAACAGCCCCTCTCCACCCCACGCCCCAAACCCAAAC